TTTGTTTGGTTCAATTTTTTTTGAAAAAAATTTCAAAATCACTTTCTCTCTCCTATACATCAATTAATTACCTTTTCTTTCTCCTTTCTCCTTCTCAATTACTTTTTTCTCACACACATCTCCTCAATTACTACAAAATATCAAATAATCCCAAATTCCTTAACTCCAAAACCATTTTCAAAATATACAACAAAAAAAACTAAAAAAATTTCTAAACTCTCTCCCCAAAATTTTTTTTGAAAAATTTATTTCAAAACATAAACCAAACACACTTTCCACATACTTAATTATCGTACATACATTTATTAATTTGATTATTAATTAATTTTCTCAATTCACACACTAAAAGTTATAATTATATCATTCACTCATAGTTATTGTACACACACCACTTAACCCTCATTTCCACACTCTTTTTTTTTTCAATTTTTTTATTTTATTTTATGTTTTTCGGTTTGGAGATTTCGACACTGATTTTTCGAAATTATATATTTAATTCGAAACTTAACTTCCGAATAAAAGTGATTAGTTCGATAAATTTGTTCCAAAAAAAATAAAACAAACTTTTAGCAGTTGATATTCGAATATAATGAAATAATTCAGTATTGATTGTCCGATTGAAAACTGAGAAAGGAAAAAAAAAAAAAGCTCTGCACAAAAAAACTAACATTTTCATCACTAATAAATAATAAATTTAGAGATTAAAACAATATGAGAGTTGTTATGAGAGTATTGATTTACAAGCAATAGAGGAGTATAGAGTGTGTAGCAAGCAGAGTAACAACAATGGAAAAATTAAGATTTAGTTTTTTTTAATCAAAATGTATATATTTAAATTTTATTTTTTATTTTTTAAAAGATGTGTATAGAGAATATTTTCATATAATATTATGAGTGTTAATGGATATTCACTATGACCATTTTAATTTATGATATAATTGTCTTTAAAATAATATTTTATAAAAAATATGTATTAAAATAATTAAATGTGTGAAAATAGAGGGTATGTTTGGTTTGTGTTTGAGAGATGTGTTTTAGAGATAAAAAGTACGAAAAATTGTTTGGTTTGGTTTTTTTCAAAAGATATTTTGGAAAATTATTTTGAGAGAGAGTTTTGAAAAAAGTGATTGATTTGATGTGTGTGAGAGAGAGATTTGTTTGGAAAACTTGTTTGGTTTACAAGTTTTGAGAAATTTTTTTAGAAAAATTTGTTTGGTTTGATTACTTTTAAAAACTTATTTATTGAGAAAATTTCTCAAAAAATTTTCAGAAATGCAAACCAAACGAACCCAGAATTTCTAAAAAAATACATGAGAGCAAAGTCTTGTAAAATGATCAAAAGTACCATAATACATACTTGTCGATTCGCTCCCAACTCTCATTTCCTAAACACACGCACTCTCTCTCCTCATCCGTTCTCATCATCAGTCTCTCGTCCATTGGACCAATCGTAGCCGCCACAGATCGGCCGCCCGCTTCCATCGCCGCCGCAAACGCTTCCATCACTGCCGTCGTAAGCGGCGCCTCCATCATCAGATTTGAGATTGCGAACAAATCGTCGAGCTTTTCCCAAGATCCGATCTCACCCTCTGTTCCCTCTCTCTCTCTCTCTCTATATATATATATGAAATCGGTGACTCTCAGTTCCCAGTTCTCGTCGAGGAGGTGATTCTCCGACTTCAGATCATTGTGGAAGACATCGCGGGAGTGGCAGAATACGACGGCGAAGATCTTCGCTGAACTGTCCTTTTGCGACCTTCGCACAATTCGCCTCCCTTCGAGTACTCCAGCACGAAAAATAGATCGTCATCTTCGTGGCCAAGATGATTTTGATCGTTAGGGTTTTCGATCTTCATCTTCCGAGCCTTGCGCTTCGTCTGATCCGATGAGAGATCTCTCAGTTTTGTTACATTTTTTTATTTATGTATTCTATGTATAAACAAATAGATTGATCTTGTTTGCTGAAAAAATGGTGATTTTTTGTGTTTCTTCATCAACATAAAAAATGGTGATCTTGTTTGCTATGAGAATTGCTCAAGCGTCATGGGGTCCAATTCGTAATCAACAACACTGGGGTCCAATTCGTAGGACCTCTTGCATTTTTTGATCAATCGTAGGACCTCTTGCTGAGACCCCTCTTTCTTCTATTCAAACCAATGCTTATGGTAGGTTTTGTGTTTTTGTTGCTGCTTTACTGGATTGTCCTCTAAGTGTTTGTTGTTTTGCTTTAGCTAAACTATGCTTGTTTTGGACAGGTATGCGGGAATGGCAACGAGACAGATTTTTGGCTCTATTTGAAGGAGTGTAGATTTTTTTGGGAGTGTACAGTTTTTGCTTTGTTTGTATTCTTCATTTTGACAGATAAGAAAAAATTAGGTGTGTTTGTGGAGAGACAAATTTGAACAGATAGTGGGAAGGGGAGAGAGATCGCAAATTAAACCGATAAAAAAATATTTCTACATATTGCAAATTGAACAGTTAAAAAAGATTTGAACAGATAAGAAAAAATAGGTTAAAAGATTCAATAGATAAGAACATATTTGAACAGATTGAGAGAAAACCCCACGTACAAATTTTAAGCAAATAGAGAGAAATTCACATATTTTAAACATAAAGAGAGAGGAATCCACAGATTTTGAACAGATAGGAAAAAAATTAAACAAATAGGTATAAATTTAAATGGATGGTAAAAAAATTTGAACAAATAGATATAAATTTAAACAAATAGAACGAAAAGTTAATAGATAAATTAAGGAGTAAAATTGAATACAAAATGTCTTTCAAAATCAATAAAATGATTTATTACCAAATTATTTCATAAAAAATAAACCTCTTACTAACAAAAAAAAAAAAAAAATCACTAAACTTTAATGACTTGTGCCCTCCTTGCTTTGGATTTTTCTACAATTTACGAAGTTTTTTTCCTACCATTGTTTTGTTTTTAATTCATAAAATTACTTAATCACTTACTTTTTTTTGGTGGTCAAGTCAACTTTAAGAATTTTGATTTTGATTTTTTTGCAAAAAAAAAAAATGTTACAAATGCTGATAATAATATTTGGGTGATTAACTGTGAGATCTTATTTCGGCAACTTATGTCCTCTTAAGTCTTGTAATGAAATTTTTATTCCAATAAATCTTACCAGCACAATTTTTTCCAAAATTGCCTCAAATGCAAAATTGAATGTTTCCTGCTTTATGCCTAACATGCACAATACGAATAACTTTATAGTTATTGCAGATCACTTGGAAACATGCCATTACTTTTGTCTGTTAGTGTAAAATTTTAAAATATTATAACTTTTATCATATGCATTTCTTAAATTAAAATTTATTGGTCGGTTTAATTTTCAAATTTTGTTTTTTATAATTTTTTGAAAAAAATAAAAACCAATTTAGTGAAAACAACAACACACACAAAAAAAAAAAAAAAAAAAATACTCATCACATTCATATGATTTTACATTTTTAGGGGCAAAATAATTTTTAAAACTTTAAAATTTCTCAAAAATTTATCAGTTTTAAAATTAAAAATATTATCAATTTAAAACTAAAAATTTTGGTACTATTCTCAGTTTTAACACTAAAAAAATTGAGAAATTTTTTAAAACTCAGTCCTAAAATGATAATACAATCCTAAACTTACCCAATAATGCAGGGAAGTGTTTGGATGTGTAAAGTGTATATCATATATATTTATATAAGTTTTCATAAATATATGCAAGTTATTTCATTAAATTGTGTATATTTTTATAAACATATGTAAGTTAACCCATAAAAATTAGGTATTTTTGTGAGAATTTATACGATTTGATAAGTTAACTTACGTATATTTATAAGAATTTATACAAAATATATATAATATGCACTTATATACTTAGACGTTGCCCATACACTTAATAATAATACTAAGAGGAGGCTTAATTCAACAAATGGATTGTTGGGTCTAGTTACGGGCTTTGTGGGCCTTCTTTGGGCCCATTTTAGTGATTTGATCCATTTTTATTATTTTTATAGAAATTTATATTGATCCGACATGGTTAACTGTCTAATTTGATCATATATATATTTTAAATAAATGAAAATGTATTTTTGATAATATATTGTTCATTTATTTTAAAACAAATATAATCCTTAATATAATTAATTTACATGAAAAGCATTTCAAAAATTAAAAAATTCAAATCATCAAAATGAATCTAGCCACAACTCCTTAATTGGATCCACCGATTTAATAGTTGGATTGATGAGGAGCATGTCCTATAATATCTATTAATGAAAACAAAAAGAAATTAAAAAAATATATATTGAAGACTACATGTAGGCTCTATTAAGTGGGGCCATTGAATATTTGGTTTGGATTGTTTCATGCACAATAGGCCATGGTAGAATTTTAATTTTTTTTTTATAATCTTTTTGGATGAAGATGAAAAGGCTGTGTGGAGCTTCATATTGAGTTAATTGCTTTGCGTCAATATTTCTTTTAAGAAAATGATATACAAGTTCATTTGCATATTTATTTTTTTGGAGCTTCATATTGAGTTAAATGCTCCGCGTCAATATTTCTTTTACGGAAATAGTATACAAGCTCATTTTGTACATTTATTTTTTAAATCCAATAATATGTAAGTGATATGATTGATTGATAATTAAAAAATATATAAGAGAGAGTGTTATTTTTAATATTCTAATAGATTACCAATCATTAAACTTGAAAATTGAGTCTAATTTTTGATTTTGAATAATAATATTCATTTTTTTTTATTATTTTAAAAAACTCCATATTGAGCCTATTAGACCGATTAATCTAGGACTAACTCAAAGCATACTTCATCTCCTTTCTGATTGGTGCACATATGGGAAGCTTGAGAATGCTAGGTTTTACCTATTTTTTCATAGATGTATATCACTGAAAACACATAGTAATATGCATTTATATTAGTCATGCTAGAAAACAAGATGTGAAGAACTACATGCACATGCAGAGGAAGTTGACTTACAATTTGAGCTTTTGTTTGGAAGATCAAAGAGATTATAATGTCTTTTGAATCTTCAGCTCAGACCAAGTTTTGCCTTCACCATGTACTTGTATCAAGAAGCATCTGTTTGATATAAGAAAATAGTTGAGAGAGAGAGAGAGTGTCCCTATAGGTGTGGCAAGGGCCACATATAAATATACATATATATTAGGAGTTGATACAAATGCGATACATATACAAATATATATAATTAAGAAAGAACGAAGATGAATAGATGAGATTTTAAAAATCTGAATAGATTTTTCACAATGACAATTTTAAATTATTATAAATATTTTCAAAATATAAAATCCATCACATCTATATATCATCTTCCACCTTCACATTATACATATAGTACATACATTAGAGCTTCCTAACCTAGTCACATCTATATCATCTTCCACCTTCACCTTATACATGTAGTACAGATATTAGAGCTTCCTAACCTAGATCAATGTCAATCTATATGAAGATGACACATGTCTCTTTCTTCTCATTACAAAAATGAAAAGAAAAGACAAAGTAGAGCATTACTGAAAGTAGAGATAACTATACTTTAAAAAAGGTATTTTTAAGCATTTTTTCTTCTTCTTATTATTAAAAGAAACTAGAGTACAAAAAGGGTCTAGGATAGAACACTATATTAGGAGTTGATACAAATGCGATACATATACAAATATATATAATTAAGAAAGAACGAAGATGAATAGATGAGATTTTAAAAATCTGAATAGATTTTTCACAATGACAATTTTAAATTATTATAAATATTTTCAAAATATAAAATCCATCACATCTATATATCATCTTCCACCTTCACATTATACATATAGTACATATATTAGAGCTTCCTAACCCAGTCACATCTATATCATCTTCCACCTTCACCTTATACATGTACAGATATTAGAGCTTCCTAAACTAGATCAATGTCAATCTATATGAAGATGACACATGTCTCTTTCTTCTCATTACAAAAATGAAAAGAAAAGAAAAAGTAGAGCATTACTGAAAGTAGAGATAACTATACTTTAAAAAAAGCATTTTTAAGCATTTTTTCTTCTTCTTATTATTAAAAGAAACTAGAGTACAAAAAGGGGTCTAGGATAGAACACTCTAGTTTTCTATAAAATAAAACAAAAAACACAAAACAACTCTAGGGTAATTGAATAGAGAAGGCAATTACGAAAAATAAATAAATTAATAAAAATAACAAATGAATTAACTATACTACATAAAATGCTTTACAATGGGACTCATCACTTTTGTGTGGAAAATGCTTCACAAAATTTTTAATTTTTTTACAAATTAATATGACGTTCAATAACAAAATTTTGATATTCAAAATGAAATCCATTAAAATTAAAGGGTAAATTACAAATACACTCCCTGAGATTTAATTAAAATATGAATCATCTCCTGTGATTTTGAAAATTACATTCCACTCCCTGATGTTTTTAATTTCATAACAAATCACCCATTTTATTAATAAATCATCAATTTAATTAACAGTTTTTAATGATGTTAGAAACATATTTCAATTAATAATTTGAGTAATTTTATTATTATATAGGAGAGCAATTATGAATTTTATTTTTAATTAATTCTGTTAAATAAAAAATTCTAACAAGGAGGTATTTGTAATTTTTCAAACTACAAGGGGTAATCTGTATTTTAAACAAATCTCAAATGTGTATTTATAATTTATCCAAAATTAAATGATATAAATAATTCATCTGCTATATCAATTTTAAACTAAATTTATATAAAATATATTATTTATATAACATTACTCCAATGTTAACCTTTCGAAATCACATCCTTTCTACCAAATTAGCACGAATGGTCTTTTGACAAGCCCTTGTCCTAATTTGCTAGAGACAATGGACATAAATGACTCAGGTTGGCCACACTTTTTTTTTGATTATGAAAAAAAGGTATATGGGCATGTGTTTTTCAGTCTTTTCGCTCACAAAAAACACTTGGTGTATTTAAAGTTTTTTTTTTTTTTTTTTTTTAGTTACTTGGGAAATAACTATTTTTAAAGCTCCACAACCTATATTATGTTCATCTTCTTCTCCATTAGTTTGATTTTATTATCATAGAGTCACACACAAAAAAATAAAATAAATAAATAAATAAAAAATAAATAAACTAATAAACTACTTTCAAGGTGTTTGTTGCGCCTTTCACTGAAATAATTTGAGTTGTCCCTTTCTAGTTGACCGAATATCGATAATCACACAATTGAATTATATTTATTTTAAAAATGTATAATTTGTTCTCAACAAAACTACACTTGTCGTCTATATATATGCTTTTATTTAAAAATGATCTAATCATATTGTTATTATCATTCAATTAATTTCATTTTTTGAATGGGTGATTGATAAGGAAAATGTTATAAGTCTCAAATTTTATATTAAATAAATAACTAAATGTCTCACATGAGTGTAAGGTTTATAAAATTGTGCACCCTACATTCATGTGAGATATTTAATCATTTATTTGGTAAAAAATTTGTTCTTCCTAACATTACTCGTTTGATAAACCTTACAAAATGAAAAGACTTGATGAGGACTAGAGTGGGCCATACTTAGGGAGCAGCATCACTCTTACTATGACTAAGGTCTCTTTTGGGAATGAATAGTGTTATACAAACAAACTTTCTAAGCCTCTGTTTGGAAAGAGGTTTTTGGGATTTTTTTGGTTAAAATAGTCACAAAAGATAAAATAGGCTATTTTAGCTACAATAAACAAAATATCACATCCAACCCATAATCATTATACTTTTCTTTTACAAAAAAAAGTCAAAAAAATCAAAAAGCCAAAAAGTCCTTCCCAAACCAAGTTTTTTAGCCTAGGCTAAAATAGCCAAAAAGGTCAAAAAGCCAAAAAGTCAACTCACTTTCCAAACGAAGCCTAAACAAACTTTCTTTATAAACTGATGTGTCACCTAGAATATTAGTAAGTTGGGCCTCATGCCACATTCCAAAGTTGCATCACTCCATGCCACATTAGTTTGTAAGAAAAGTTAGTAATTTTTTTTTTTTGTTTGTATAGCATTTTCCTTTGGGAATAGGTTCTTTTAGTATTTTTTTTTGACTTTTTAACTAAAATATAATGTAAAAAAATATAGTATATTTGGGATGATTTTTTAATTTTTTTTGAAAATGTGTGCACAAAGTAGATAGAAAAAAAAATTCTTTAACTTTTTGGTATAAGTTATTGGTTTTTTGATTTTTTAAGTAATTTTTTGACTTTTAAGCAAAAAAATGATGTTGCCAAACGAGACCTTAATGCACAAAAAGCTCCCTGTTCTGGAGTTCTAAGTTACACTATAAGCCCCATTTGGGATGTCTATTTGGGCTAAAATAGTCATATAGGACAAAATAGGACATTTTAGCTAAATAAGATAAAATGTCACATCAAATCAATAATCATTTCATTTTTTCTCTTATAAAAGTCAAAAAAGTCAAAAACTTATTCCAAACAAGACTTTTTAGATCCGAACTAAAATAGTTAAAAAGTTAAGAAGTTAACCAATATCTCAAACAAACTCTATATTTGGAATCAAAATTTTTTACAAGTTAGATTTTAAAAGGAGAAAGAAAATGAATGGATTCTCAAGGAATTCACTTTTATTTATCACTCCTATTACTATTATTATTATTATTATTATTATTATTATTAGGGAATGACTTTGGACTGAAGGGTACTGTTGGGCTCTTGAGAACCAACCACAGATCCCATTTCGATAATCTAAATAGTTCAATGTGTAGAACTCGTCGAGTATTATATTCCTGTAAAAAATTACGTTGATCGGATATCAATAACTATGTGATCAACTTAGATATTTGTAAGTCGTTTATTTTTTACCGTCTATTTTTTCCATACAAAACGGATTTGATCACATAGCTATCGATAACTTGATTTTTTACAGACATATACTCGACGAGTTCTACACATTAAATAATTCAATTTATTAAAACGAGACCTGTGGTAAGCCCCCACAGGTCCAACAATACTCTCTAATCCGTGATTGGATTGGAAGGAACCCATTCCCTTATTATCATTACTCCCTCCGTCCCAAAATATTAGTCCCTTATTCCATTTTTCATTGTCCCAAAATATTAGTCCCTCTTCAAAAATCAAGTACAAAAATAATATAAATTTCCTATTTTGCCCTTCTTTTAAATTAATAAACAATATAAAAAGTACAATAATGACATTGATATTCTCAAAACATGTACTATCAAAAGGATAATTTTGGAAAATTAATTTTTTTCAAATGCAATAATTATACTACCAAAAAAAATTGGATTCTCTAAAAGGGACCATTATTTTGGGACGGAGGGAGTATTGTTTTTGTGTTTGGAGATGTTGGAGCTAAAAGAAAATGATTTTTTTTTGATTTGACAAAATTAGAAAGAAAAGTAATTTAGATAATGATATCCTTAATAGGAGGGGTAGCGTGAGTAACGAGATTGAAAAAAAAAAGATGTTTGGATCCGTTTTTTTAAAAACACTTTTTAGAATATTTTATTTTTTTATTTTTCGTATTTTTTTATTTTTATTGAATTTTTTTAATATTTTAAATATATTTTTTTTATTTTTTAAACACACTTAACATAAATATATTTAAAAATTAAAAAAATTGTAAAAAAAATATTTTAAAAATTTACTAAATATCAAAAATATAAAAAAATACAAGAATTTAATATATTTTTTGTATTTTTATATATTTATTAATTTTTTAAAATATTTTTTCACAAGTTTTTTAATTTTTAAAAATATTTAAGTAAGGTGCATCTAAAAAAATAAAAAAAAATATTTAAAATTTTAAAAATATTTACTAAAAACAAAAAAAATACGAAAATAAAAAAATTCAATTTTTAAAAAACTTAATTTAAAAAACTCAAATCAAACCCACGGATTATTATTAATTTTAACTCAATGAAGCGGAACAATTTTTCATGAGAATTCAAGGGATATTTTATTTTATTTTATTTTTTGTCTCCAGTCATACCCAATCAAATCCCCTTCATTTGAGAGAGATCAAATTTCATTTTCAAATGCCAAATCCATCAAATTCTATTAAGAAAAATATTTGAGAGCACTAGAAATGAAACATGGGTAATGATACATCCCACTAAAAGTGGTGCTCTAAAGT